TTGTCATACAGAAAAGGCCTCGTAACACTATCAATGACAACACGACGCAATGATACAAAGACGACCTGACGAGGGTATCGCGTGTAGGCCGCGAATCTGGGAACTCGTATTAGCCGTCGAATGCACTGAGCCGTATGAATGTATGTTTTGAGGAGAATACCTTGAGAAGAAAATGATATTGACTCGTTGCAGTGTAGAATGATATATTTGAAAAACTTCCTAGTTACACAAAAAGTCTTAAAACTAAAAAAAACTTGAAAATAATAATACGTTTTTAAATTTACGACCAATAAGAGCTCTTGTATATCCGGTGCGAGTGTCGTCGCGTCCCCCGCATAACTTATTCTGCTAGAGAGCAGATAGCGATAAAGATAGACTGGTCTGCACGTCTAACTGTTTCGTATTCCTTTATAACCTTTCACTCCACGGTGGTCCACGGGTGAAGATGTTTGCAGCTCCGGCGTTCGGCGTCGAATTCATCTTAGCGTCATGACGGGATTAGTCAAGAATGAAGAAATGAAAAGATGAAAATTGAAGATTATTGAAGATAGAAATATAAAAAGATGAAGATAGGCGATGTACAAAATTGACATTCAATGATTCATCGTAGTATTCGACGGCTCCGGTTGACTGATTATCTTGTGAGGAGAAGGCAGAAGGGGAAAGGCGGAAGGGACTAGGCAGAAAATAGTGCACTTCTAACCGGGATGACCGTGTTCTCCAACCTCGAGTCCGTATGAATGCGCGGGAAACGGCTATGCAGGACGTAAATGAGCTTGAAGTCATGCGAAGAGAAAAGTAGAACAGAAGAAGTTGACATAGTTTCTGGGACCTAATCCAATTGGGTTACTTTTTACTGATGAGTGTGCTCTTCGATCCAGATCAGTGGAAGATAGAGAATATCAAGACGCAAAGGAGAACGATACATTAAGACTAATTTTGAAATAATTTAAATACAGTGACGTACGGGGGCGGTTCAGTTATGGTGTGGGGAAGGATAACTTTCGGATAAGGAGTTACTGATAGTTTATGGAGGGAATGTGACTGCTGATAGGTACAATAAAGGATATTTTATTATGAACAACATTGGGCCCACAGTGCTGGCTCCGCCCAAGCATATATAATCTGGGTATAACAGTAATGTGTTGCCCAGCAAGATGCTCGGATTTGAATCGTATAGAGCATGTTTGGGAGTTAAGAAAAGTATTAAATCCAGATTACCACCCCACAACAATCTGAGAGAAACGCAAAACGTATTATTTGAAGAGTGGCAGAGCTCGTTAAGATACAATAAATAACATACTTTGGAGCATGCCCAGAAAGATGGAAAGGTTATTTAGAGCACGAGGAGGAATCACAGGTTATTAATCTTTCATTTTATTAATGTTAAAATCTTAGTAATCTTTAATTTCCAATACTATTTCTGTACCCACAAATTAGAGAAAATTCTAGTAATTTTATTATTTTTATCTCCCTTTTTTTTAACATTGCGCCAAGTGTGCCGGTTATAGGACACAAGTAGTTTCATGAACCCGGCCTGTTCTACTGGTTGGAATTTTTGACTGATTTCAGATATGCGTCGTTCTAAACACGAGGCGCATAACTTGTAGAGGCATGGTTGAAGGCTTATTGGTCGGTAATTTGCAATATTTGCAGGGTCTCCTTTTTTATAAAGTAAAATTATGTCAGATTTGGCCTATTCTTTTGGAATCTGTCTAGAGTCTAGCGCTTCATTAAAGTGCTGTTAAATAGTGTGTCAGTACATATCTTCCTGCTTCGATGGGTATGTTATCAGGGTCACCGCTTTTGCCTTTCTTTAGATATTCAATTTTCATAAGGATGTCGTTATTTGTGAATCTTTGAAGTGGTGGTGATAAGGTGGTCCGTTTCTGATATTTTACACATATGGTTATTTGAAGAGTATCTTTTCTAGAATATAAATCTTTATAAAAGTTAGTGGCCGTCTCTATTTTTGCCATCAAGGATATTTCTCTATCAGACTATTTTTCCTTAACACTTAAACAAATTTACATAACATAGATGAAAATTACTACTAACATCATTGGGTACATTCACTGTTCATTTGTTTAATTTAATTTTTTTTATGTGAAAAAGTGGCAAACGACCTGGCAGTTCACCTGATGTTAAGTGACATCCGCCGCAAACGGACAGTTTGCAACATCAGTTGCAGATGTTTTGCCACCTTTTAATAATGTGAGCCCCGGCTACTTCGCTCTCCACACGAAACGCGTATCATTTCTACTTTACGCCGGTGAGGTCGTGGTACTAACCCGGACAGACCTGCCCATTCGTGCAACAACGAATACTATTGCGTGGTCATACCTCAGTTACACATAAATATTAAATAAAGAGTCATCTGATGATACTGAAGAACTTATTTCGTGGAGTCTCATTTGGAAGACAAAACTGTAACAAAACATTCACATCCTAATTTAAAGTTCATTTCAATGATATTCATTCTTGCCTAACGACTCAGATTTTGATGAAATTGGAACCAATCTAAAACAACATAAAAGAGTTTATACAGTAGAAGATTACATTCCCGTTATGAAAAAATGCAAAAAATTAAAAGTAATAAATTTTAACTTTTTTGCATTTTGCATTTTGAACGAAAGCAGAAGAATTCTGCGCGCAAGATTTATGTATTGAAATGAGAGTTTAAAAGAGAAATTATAGAAGTTTCGCCGACGTCGCGTTAATAAAAATAGTCATATCACATTTTAGTCTTTTCATAATATTCATCGTTTCCACTTATATTTTATTGTAAGATCAGTTTTTGTTTTCCGTTGCATCACCGTTTAAAGCATCACGGAAGATGGCTGGATGTAAGACATTATTTTATTTTTTTATATGTTTAATCAGTGTTTATTCTTCGTAATAATATTGGAGCAAAATGAAAAGATTATCGTACGGCGTGTTTTACAGCGAGAGGTGAGATATTCTCAATTCCAAAGTGACGAAAAACATTACATGAAAAAAAAAACCGTAGAGTGAAACGATTACTAGATTTATTAGTCTATGGCGAAGATGGATTGAAGAAAGAAATTAGCCAAATACTAGACATACTGATTCGGAAATTTAATGAATTCATTCTAGTTACATTTTATACATATTTTTTACATTCAGTAAAGTCAATTTGCTCTTAAATAGTAATCTAATGTGACTACTAAATAAATTAGAAGTAGATTTAAAATATGATTTACGACAGTCTAACTACTGCTAAATCTATTATTGCAAGTATTTATTTACAGTCGTACAAATTCAATGGATATACATTAAAATGAAATATTTTATGTAGGTACCTTAAAATACTATCATCGCTTTGAATATAAAGGAAATTTTGGTCCAGCTAAATCCTATGCTAAGCACAACTCCTAGGAATGAATAGATATTGCTATGACAGGTATATATGCAGCAATAATAATGTACATTAGAGTATCTCAAGTATTAAAAAAAAACACAATTCTTAATAATTCATGCAAATAAGGTTTCAAAATATATCAAAATCATTAATTTAAACTGATATCACATTCTACTGTATTAAGTTAAAAATGCATACTAAATAGATATTTTCTTAATCTGTATAATATATGTACAATGACACCATTTTGTCACATTTATATTGCTTTTTATTTCTATATGGTTCCTGAGAGTGTAACTTTAACATAAAATAACAGTAGACTATGAATTTCTAGAAAGCATACATATATAAATATGTGAAACATTAGACGTCTTAGTGAAACCTCATTTTAAGTAATTCTTATTAGATCATGTAAAAATTGGTAAAAATATATAGTTCACACCAGGATTTTGCTATGCATTATATATGTATATGTAGGTTTGCCATATTTTCGTTAATCAGTCAGTTTACATTTATAAATATGTATAACGGAATGGAACGTATTTCCACAGGAATTCATGGACTTTTATTAAGAGGTTATTACTACTGTTATTATTAGTAATGGCTTTATTAAACACACTTGGATAACGCTAATATTTTCAATAATAGTGAAGTCCTGTGCCTTAACAATTACTAAATGCAATAACATGACAATGATGTTTCTAAATATTACACGGCAATTACGATTTCTCTACTGTTTTACATTAATATAAATCAATAATAACAATTTTCAACACTTTGACTTGTAGTAATTTTAATACTAGTTTTTACCTACAAGGGTAATTAACAAGATTTAAGGCGAAGTAGTAATTTACGATAACTATAGCCAATATTTAACAAATTGATAACCCTATTTACTAATTCGAATATTCACAAAAGTATGTGTAACATAAAAAAATAATAATTAATGATTTAATGTGTAATAGCACTTGTATAAGCCATAGTTTTGTTGTCAAGATATTTTTTTTCATATAACAGTTCCAATAGTATTATGAATATAAAATAGAGCAATTGCAATAATCCAAAAAAATTGTAAAAAATAGGGTGGGTGCATTGGCAGAATAAGACAATTCAGTTCTGCGTTGTACAATTACTTGCTTCCATAGAGATTCAAAAACAAAAACAATTTTTTGTTTTTGTAATAATTAAAACTTTACAATGAAAGCAACAATCTACAATATACAATAAAATATTGGCAAAGATTTTGATCACTGTTTTTAATAAACACTCTTTATGGCATTAAGATATATAATAAGAATATTAATGAGTAGAATATTAAAACATTTTCTTTTTTAATTTTAACCTAACTATACATATGTAGTAGAAGGTTAATATTACCTTGAATTATTGAATATCTAAGTCATGAAAGACTATTACTATCACTGTAGTCAGAATAATTTTTTTCTCAATAATACTTTTTATGTTTATAACCTATTATTATGACCAAAAATCAAGTGCTTTTACAAAAAATAATGAATTAATAAATAGGTATGATATTTAAATAAAATATGCTAATTATGGAGTACACAAAGATTCATTACATTCTTTCAAATGTTCTTAGATATGTCATAATTACTTATTTAACAGCAGAAAAATTTTGAATTTGGTTATTTGCGTTTGAGGCGACCCAGGAGCTGAAGACATCTCTGAAAGCAATATTATATCTTTATATTTCAGTTTTAAATAAGATAGATCCTTACTTTCATAATCAAATCAAATACAATGATAAGCTAACATACATATTAAAATTACTCTTTCAGATAACCAGGGTGATTGAACAGTTTAATATACATACATATACTTACCACATGATATATAAAGGTTATTTTTTTTAATCAGAAACAACAGTTTTTGATACAACAACAAGGCAACAGCCTTTTATGCCACTTGATGGCTAGTTTATGTGTAGATGCTAATTACTATACATTGATTGAATACTCATAAAATATCTGATGATGAATGTAAAATATCTATTGGAGTCCTCCCATCGAGAACATTATCCTCTTATGCCAGGACAACATTATGGTGTTGTAAGGATATTTTGCATACATAAATCTGGAGAAACATGGAGATTCAAAATAACTCTGGTTCACACAAAGAGATGTCTGGGGTGGATTCACTACTGATCCTATTTATGACTCCGTGGCGCATTCTCCAAGGTATTGGGTTCAGCGTCGGGTGTCGTGGGTTCGATTCTCACCTGAGACAAGTATTTATGTAACCTAAAGATATTTTTTTCAGATCTGGGTGGTTGTCTAAGTGAAATTTATCTAATTTATGTAAGGCATCCTAAAAACACAGGATATTGTTATCCTATGGTAAAGGAGCAATATTTCCAAAGGGAAAGACTACAATAGATCTTCTATAGGCCACAATGGTTGTTCGGACTTACTCTACCAAACCCATACAAAATACAATGGAATTAAGGCAGACTTTGGGGATGGGCATTGCATAATTTAGTAGTTTTGTGAGATACAAAACAGACAGTAATGGAAAATTATAAGAGATGATGCCTCTGACAAGTGTCAAGTTCCTACAATAACTCTTATAGTAATTACATATTATTAGTGAGAAATGTACTACCAACCTGCAGTGACTGACAACACATTCATTCGAGCAATATTCATCTTCCCATTCATTGTTAGCAATTGCTGGATTTGTGCAACCCTGTCGAATGCAGGAAGGTGTACTTCGGTTTTCATTTTGCTAAAACAATGTATTGTAAAACTATATTTTCTAAAAAAATCCATTCGTTTTTTCAAATAGTCCTACATAGAATGTGATTCTATCAAATTAATAATTTCTACATTCACTTATGCTTTGACAGTCTAGATGATTAAGACACATTTAATTTCTTATACAAATAATGTATATTACTTTGAAGGCCTACTAATTTAAATGTTTCTGTTAAAAGAAGGTGCAATTCTTGAACTACCTTTGCAAATATGCAAGATTTTTAAAGTTACCTCTGGAGACTGTTGTGGTATCCCAGGGTTGCCATTGTTTGGTGAATGTTGTTCGTTTTTTGAATTCTGATTGTGTTGTTGAATTTTTTGCTGCTGCTGCGGTTGTTGTTGCTGCTGCTGGTGAAGTTGTTGTTGCGGCTGCTGCTGGTGATGTTGCTGTTGTTGCTGCTGTTGATGTAATTGCTGTTGTTGATGCTGTTGCTGGTGCTGCTGTTGTTGCTGATGCTGCTGTTGTTGTTGCTGTTGTTGATGTTGTTGCTGCTGTTGATGCAATTGCTGATGTTGATATTGTTGCACCTGTTGAATCTTAGTAAAAAAAAATAATTAACATTTAATTAAAAATAGTTAAAAACTCTTATTCAAAAAATTATGTACAACTTATTGACTTCCACACAATTTTATATTGTGTTGTCCATAAGACTTGCAGTAATATATCTATTTAATTGTCAATCCTTACTAATATTATGAAGGTGAAAGTTTGTATGTATGGATGGATGTTTGTTACTCTTTTCCGCAAATACTGCTAAATGGATTTTAATGAAACTTTACAATTATATAGCTTATACATCAGAATAGGACATAGGCTATAATTTATATACATATTTTATGTATATCTTTCTTTCTGTTTGAATATTACGCCTTCAGCCTATTCTATGCAGACATAGTCGCAGGGCAGCAGCTGGTCATCAAATCGTTTAATGTCAATAAATTTTTTCATGTGAAGATTTTAATGTTATAAGATATAACATAATCAAAAGTATCTTCAAATAAACAAACCTGTTGAGAATGATGATACTGCAGAGCAGTATGAGCAGAACCCATTGGCGGTGACTGAGTTTGGACTTGTCTGTACCCAGGAGGTGAAATACCAGGTGGCGATTGAAAATTATTAGGAGACTGAGCAGGTTGATAGTTTCTTGGAGATTGTGCTATGTTAGGTGGACAAGTCTGAGGAGAAGCAGCTGGATTCACTTGATAGCCTTGAGGATTTTGACTGGTAACACCCTGTGAAAATAATTACTTTGCTTACGAACGTGTTCATTTCTTGTAAAATTTTGACGTTTCATAAGAACGCGCAAGCGTCTATGTGAATAAAGATATTTTTATTTTATTTATTTATTTACTTACTTATAACAATTACCTATAGAATGTAAATTTAAACTATGCATAAACTGTATAATTATATAAGTGTTATTTTAACTTGATATTTATAAATTCACAATTAGTATGAAATTTGTAAACAAGCTCCTTTTGTCAATAATTAATTAATAGTTGAATAGCATGTAACTTATTGCTTATTTTTCTTTTGACGAAAAGCAATACACTCAATATAAGGGAAACCTTTGAATGGAAATCCACATTATAATACATGCACAATTAACTAAATTTAACACATATCTAAAAAACAAAAATGCCATGACACCCTATTTAACATGTTCTATGATTTTGACACTGGAATAAAATCCATTTTAAAGTGAACTAGCTTGCTCGGTCATACTGAACATGTTAGTTTGTATACATAAGTAATAGGAAAAAAAAAACTGAGATAATTTTCTACAATACTACAATTTTTTTAAATTTTGTTCCATTATTTGTTAATACTGAACAAACAAGACTTCATATTACTTACTTGATATGCTTGCGAAGGATGTCCCATGTTGCCTTGATAGTTTTGAGGTGGTGGTTGAGGATTTGGTGGATATCCAGGCCCACTTTGGCCTGGGTAAGTTTGCGAAGGTTGGCCTCCTGGATAACTTTGAGGTGAATAGGCTTGTGGGGACGAATTTGGTACATAGCCTTGCGGAGTATGTCCATTGCCATAATTTTGTCCTTGGTAGTAGTTTCCAAATGAAGAATTCGAATTTGAGTGATTAAACATGACCTGGTTTTCTTGTTCGCCACCCTAGGATAAAAATTAGAACAGATAACTTATATAGCGCATATTATTCGTATTAGGCATTCAATCTTTTTTAACACTAAAAATAGTGCCAAAGAGCGAAAACGTTTAATAAACATCCCCCCCTTAAAATCATTGTACCTACAGTAAAATAATATTTTTATAAACAAAAATTGAAAGTCTCAGTTCACATTTTCAGCAGTTTACTTCTTTTATGAACACCAATTAAATAAAAATCAATATTATTATTTCTAAAACTTCAATATAAATAATAAAATACTTATAGATAAATGACAATTTAGGACATAGGTACCGTAAATTATAATTTTTTCACTAGAGTTGAATTATTTATATATTTGATGCGAATGATACACTCTTCCAATTTATGAAAGCTTTAGACTTGGCCTACGAAAACACAAAGAACAAAGAAACTTCTTGACGATTTGCAATACAAACTTATATAGTATTTTATTAATATTTTAAATTATAAACGATTTTATATTAATGCACTTTATTTATATGCTAAAATAGTAACAAGTACTGAATATAACCATATTACAGCGAATTGTAAAACTGAACTGTCGAAGGCGTACGGTAAAGACGAGCGTTCGATAAGCGGAGCTTTCAGAATGTTGCCAGTATAAAATTAGTGTCATCTATGGCTACGTTCAGAAATAAGAGGGGTGAATTTTAAATATTTGCAGTTTTCGATAAAATAATTATTATTATTCGATTAAATAATTATATTCTTTATATCGAAATATTCAATATTGTTTTAGTAAGAAAAAATCTTGACAACAATACAAATATAAGCAGAATAAATATTATTAAACAATAATTTAGATGTTTATTAAATGCAAAATCGAAACGGGAGGATTTTTTCTAATTTTTAATTCATATTTGACGCTTTTATCTTTTTAATACTGGGCAATGGGATTCGAAGTATCTCGCCGGTTATTCAAATTTTTTAAACTTAATCTTTTATTACATTTTAAACTGTAAAAATATTTTATATAGTATACAGATACAAATGTATTCACGTGGTAGGTATAATAAATGATATTCTAAACTATAGATAAGTTTTTCACACTGAGAGTACACATTAACACATTTCGTGCATCATAACTGTAACACATATTATGGAATAAAAAGTATAGGATAATTAAAGCATTAAGAAAAAAAGTGGATGGTATGTGGTTGTCACTTTAGCGTACATACATAGATAACAAATTCATGAAACAGAAGGTGTAGGCCGAACTCACAATAGTAGGCGAGTTTATAAAATGATAAAGTAAATGTGTTTTTATTTCGAATAATGAATAGTATGAAACGAAGAAGGTAACTTATACTATTGTATGGGTAAGAAATAAACATATAATTGGTATTTACCTATGAAATTGCCGTTTTTCAGTACAGGCCATTTCAAACAAAAAAAGTTTTGATTGGCTATGAATTCTAAATTAAAATTAATTTTGTTTTAAAAACATGAAATTCTTTTTACAAAGTCAGTCTTTTATTGATTAGCTTATATTTTCATTACGTTTAAACGTTTTTCGTAACAACGGATACTTTAAATATTCGTAAAAATTATGGCGCCAACGCGTGGCACAAATGGCGCGTAACGTCAACGTTTATGAAGAGAATTTTACAAATGAACGCACAACCCGCTATTGGTTTACCCGGTTCCGTTCTGGAAATTTTGACTTAAATAATAAACCTCGTGATGTTCCGGACACTTTGGCCAACAATCATACTCAATCTACAGTCGAGCTAGCAGCAGCTTTTGATGTTAGTATTAAAACAATATTGGTCCATTTGCGACAAATGGGTAAAGTAAAAAATCTTGATAGATGGGTGCCCCATGAACTTAACGATGCCAGCGCAACGTACGCGTCGAGTTCGCAAGTTACGAGTTGCAAGAGTTGGGGTTGGAAGCTGTCCCTCATCAGTCATACTCACCAGACCTTGTACCTACCGACTATAATTTTTTCCAAAATTTGGAAAACTTTTTAGCGGAAAAAAAAAATATGCTGTTGCCTCCCGTCCAGTTGATTTTTACAAGAAGGACATCAATAAACTACCCCTGATCGATTGGGATTACTTTGAATAACAGAAATAAGAAAGAAAAACTTTATTTCATACAAAACGGCAATTTCATAGATAAAGACATAATATTATTAAAAAAATATAATATGTTGCATTGAATATCCAAAAACTGAGATTTATTTTAATAACTTTTGAAGATGCGATATTTTAATCTCAGATCAGATTCATTTCTTTGATTATGAACGACTGCTACCACAATAAGTCGAACAAAATTTAAAAGAAAAAAATTTATATAAGCCCGTTTAATTAACAACTTTAATTATTATGAGTATGTAACGCTTAATATGAGTTCCTTTTGAATTATTGTAAAACACTACGGCATTGTTATTATTGTAAAATTTGTGCCGTCTTACTGGCCGCCCTGACTAATGTGAACTAAAGACAAGACGTCCCAATTGGGGCATTAACGTGGTTTCACTTCGAGCGTGTTAACAATATATCTAATAACATAAGTCAAATATTACTAAAATTGGAAACATAACATTTTTTACCTGTCCGCTTCACGTGGTATGTTTCGTGTGCTGCTAATAATACTTTGTTGTAACATGTTTTTTTTCTTAAGCTTAGTTTATTAACACATCATTAGACAAGAAACAAGAATATATGTAATGAAACTGTAGTTACAGTTTTGTCCTAGTATTTAGTAGTTCAAAAATATTCAAATTAACTATAGGGATTATCCTTGTACTGTTAGTCCTTTGCACATTGGCTACTACGGTGTAACTATAGCTGCTGCTATACCTCCGTCATGCAAATAAGAATCTTAAGCCTCGAATAGGGTACGTATTATGCTCTTCAAGATATATTCCTACTTAGAAAAAAAATGTCTCGGTGAATAGATATTATAGACTAGTTTAGCATATACGATAAACACATACTAGGTTCATTTGTTTTTTTTTGTTATCGTAACTTTTTTGCGGGCAATTTTAAGAATGATCTACTATGACATAAAAGCAACATAAGGGAATATAATGCTTCGTATAACAGTTGTGAATAAAGAGAGGGTGGTAGAATTTAAACACGGATGAGACAAGACAACCACAGATTGATTATCCAGGAGATTTCTTCACATCAATGAAAGAAAAGAAAAAAATGTCAAAAATGTAAGCTTTTAACGGGGTCCGTTACAGTTATGAGTCGCCACACAAAATATTAGTCATATAAATACAAACATGTTCATGCATCAAACTGATGATAGGTACTTTTTCAACCCGCTTCGAAGAAGTAGGCGGTTCCCAATTCTGTTATATTTTTTTATGTTTGTTACCGCTCCGTCATTTATGACCCGATTTTAAAAATAATGCTTGCACGGAGTTTGGTTTAGCTACCATGTGGTCCCTTATTAATTGGTATCGGACCTCGGTCTTCGGATATATATCAGTGAAGAATTTAATAGAAAATGTATAGTGTGGGAGACATTCGGAGTTGTTTTTTGTCAATAAAAATGTACTCGTATGACCATCACTTTAGCGACTTAACGTAGTACTTAAGTAAATTTTTTTAAAGTTGAGCTATATAAAATTAACTTTTTTTTTGTTATTATGAGCCATTGGCTTATAATAGAAAACTATCTGCTGTAGAAGTAACAACAGAAATCCCAAAAACTGCGATTTTAGGGAAATGAATACGGCTAGGTTAACTAAATTGTTCGTTTGATAAAATAATCCAAGATTGTCGGTAACTGTGGAACAATTTATAAAAATATAACATTTTGGTTGTTATTTGGTTCTTTTCAATGATTTCGGTATTCATTCGAATAAAAAATCTAGGTATTTTTGGTGTCTTAATTTTTTAAGCTTTTTGAATGTATCTTTTAGGAGTGTGAATTACAACTGAAACAACATACTTTGTTCACGTAATATTAGGTCATCACCTATGCGATTGCCGTTTTGTATGAAATAAGTTTTTTTTTTCAAACCTATTTATTTCTGTTATTCAAAGTAATCACACATTTTTTTATGCGAGAAAGTAGCAAACGAGCTGGCGGTTCACCTGAGGTTAGTCGGTTGGTGCAAGGCATGGTGTGAATGGCGGATGAGGGAAAGCTTCCAACCCCAACTCTTGCAGCTTGGAAACTGTTCGTTGTGCAGTATGGGTTCGCACGTTGTCGTGAAGGTGCAGCGGGGACAGCAGATTGACGAAAGCTGGTTGCAGATGTGAGAGTTTCTCCATCATTGTCCTTAGTTTCTTACAGTATACATCTGTAGTAACCCTCATTCGGTTTTGTAAAAAGCTATGATAAATCACATCAGCACTAGACCAGGAAACAGTGACCATCACCTTCTAGGGTTCATTTTTGGTTTAGGGCATTGCATTAGTGCTGAACCAGGATCTAACCAACTGGCTGAGCGCTTTCGATTGTCGAACAGAATCCATTTTTCGTCGCACGTAACAATTCGTTCAAAATTCAAAATTCGGAAGCGAACTGGCGACTGGTTTCTGGGGCACCCATCTATCAAGCCTTTTTACCTTGCCAATTTGTCATAAATGGACCAATATTGCTTTGATGTTAACATTAAAAGCTGCTGCTAGCTCGACTGTAGATTGAGTATCATCAGCTTCCGCAATCGCCTTTAATTCATCATTGTTGACCAATGTCCGGACTCGGAACCGGGGACACCAATAACGGGTTGTGCGTTTTGTAAAGTTCTCGCCGTAAACGCTGTTGATGTTACGTGCCATTTGTGCCGCGTTGGTGCCACGACAGAACTCATATTCCATAACTACACCACTTTTGAATGTAATGAAAATACAAAGCTAATCAATAAACAAAAGACTGACTTTGTAAAAATAATTTAGAATTCACAGCCAATCAATTTTTTGTTTGAAATGGCCAGTACCGAAAAACGGCAATTTCATAGGTAAATCTTATACCTTTAAACGAGCAATTCTTGTATATATAATTGGAATCTCGGGAATGGCTCCAGCGATTGTCATGAAATTTAGTATGTGCGTAGATTCTGGGACGAAAAATCGATGTGGCTAGGTTTAATTTTTAGAAAATGTCGTTTTATCCCAGTTTTCAGGGAATGAAAAGTATCATTCGAATACGACGGTAAATATCATCGAAAAAAAAAATGTTATAATAGCTCGGTCGGTAATCGGGCGGCCCCGAAACAGAAGGCCGTGGTCCGTGTCACAATCATTTACACACTTATTTTTTTTACTTTTTTTTCGATTCCAGATCATTGCTTTCTTTATTTTTTATTTATGTCGACCCAGATGATTTTGTTTTTTTTAAAGTTCTTTCTTTTGTGAAAGACACCAGTTCATAATTATTTTCTTATTATTACGTCGGTAAGATCGAAAAATATTATGCATATTTTATTACTCAGTAATTTGTATCTAAATGTAAATTCCAAAATACACAATTTACCAAAAAAAAAAAAAAACAAACTGAGCAAAGCTCGGTCCTCCAGGTACTTATAATATTATTTTGATAACTTTCGGAAACTGATATTATTATGGTAGGCACGCAACCATAAATCAATTACTTATCTAATTTTATAACTGTTTAATTACGATAGCTCAAATATATTTAAAATTAAATATGACTCTAAAACGTACAAGTCTCTACAGTCGGTTAAAATATACTCTTTTTTTTATTTAATACCAATCTCGGTCCAAAGTTTTAATTCAGAGCTTTTTTTAAGGCACCAAGCAGCAGCTGCTAGTAGACGTATGGATAGACCCGACTGAGGAAGTACCACGATATAACTATTATACTTTTGCGTTTCGTATGTGGCTCACTGTTTTAAAGTTGCTAACGCATCTGCAACGTCATTTATTGTAGATGATGGCTAATTATTTAACATCACGTGAAGAGTATAATCATTTGCTAGCTTTAATATTTAAAAAAAAAACGATTGTTGCTTACAAACATCCCTTTACTGTATAAACAGTTTTGTGCTGGAAACTAGCTAAAATCACAAAATTAGAGTAAAAGCCTGTTTTTAAGTTGGGATTTTAATGAAGTTATAACTTTATGAAGCTTTTATCTTATATCTCTCAATAAAACTATATAATGTAAAACTATTTGACTTTTACGAAATTATCGCATAGTTGTGCAATCAGTCAAGAAATGGTAATATTATAATATGATATTAGGTTTTATATCACTGAAAGATCATGTATGTATAAGATACATAAGATTTAAAATGGTTAAAAACCACCTTCTAGAAATAATATATGTACCTATTGAGATATGTGTAATGAATAGTAAATGTAAGAAAAAAATTGATAAACATGCAAAAGTTCTCACAAAACTTTTTTCACTGAAAACAGCAAGGGGTGCCTTGCTCCTCATTTCTCTTTTACAAAATTGAACAATACAAACAAAATCCAAAAAATAATTAATAACATTATTCTAGAATGAAGAAATTGAAGATGTTGCAAAAGTGTTCCAAGATATTATCATTTTTCCAAAAACATTTATCATTTACCTTTGATACTAGACTAGCCCTGTATGCTGCTAGTGCTTTAAGATATTCTTTCTTCGCTACTTCCGTTTTTTGCTTGTAAACCTGTTATAATAATAGTTTTTATTATTGTGAAGATATGTTACAGCATTATAAATATAGTTCATAAATATTTTGGAATACACTTACACTTTTGTGTTCAGAATCTAAACCATCCCACATTGATGCAACAATTTTAGACACTTCACCAAAACTTGCATTGGGATTTTGTCCTTTAATAGCAGCTTGGGTATCCCGGAAAAATAAGGCATAAGCAGATACAGGCCTAAAAATATTATAATATTTAAAGTTACTACTGTCAAGTATTATTTACATCTGTAAAAGTTCATATTTATAACATTCATACTTCTGGGGTTCATTGGGGTCACGTTTTTTCTTTTTTTTCTGCACTTTTGGTTTCTTTTGCATTTGTCCACGATTAATTCCATTATCCATTGGTTCTGGAGATGATCTTTTTACCCCAATGTTACTAACGCCCATCTGTATAACCAAATTCAAAGTTTGAATCTATTTAGCTAATAGTCCATTGGCAATACAAATCTAATCAGTTCTACATTAAATTAATACTGATGTTTATTTCTATACAAATTGGATAAAATTTGCCTATACCTGATGAAGCGTAGTTTGTTGCTGCCGGCTCGCTGAGCAATAATGGATAGGCAGAAGGCTTTCCGCATCACCAGGCAACTACCAACAAACAACCAATTGATTAGAATTGTATCTAACTCATGTCAAATCCTTGAGGGATTTACGAGAAAAAATCATTTGTATGCCAATGAACCATGAGAAATAAAACAAAATGAAACAAAAAGGGTTGTGAAGTAAGTTTAGTGGATTGTTGAATAAAATTAGAAATAAAAGCTAAAAAAATTAAAACATGGAAATGAATTAGACTTGTTTTTCTTTTATTGTGAATGATGTTATGATTTGCATTACGGATATGGGGCATAGCTTTACTTTGTAAAATAGACTGTTGTAAAAGTCAATAAAAAAGAAAAAAAAACATGGATACAATGTCAAAACTGATGTAATAAAATTGTTTTTTGTAACCTGTAACAAGTAGACTGATATTGAAAAAAAAAATACTACAATGTGTTATGAAAAGAATCATAAATATAAAATTAAAAAAAAAGAGGTGTTTTTATAAAAAAAATTGTGGACATACAATTACTAAGTCCTACAAAAAATGTTATAATTTATGTATACTGCAGCCTATGTTGACAAAAATAATATAAATGGACTATAAATATAAAATGGACTACACAAAATTTATGATTGTATAATTATTTTTTCAAGCTTATACTCATTATTATATTCAAGATATATTATCATTTAATATTATAAAAAATATAGAATTTGTTTACCTGGGAATGTTGAGAAGGAACACTATCATCAGAGTCGTCACTTGTGGTCCCTGGAGGAGATGCTTGTTGTGGTGATCCATACACAGGCCCAGGTTGAGTAGGAGTGCTAGGTGTTGGTGGACCACTCATTACTTGGGATGGTTGCATCATAAGTAGACGCTGTTGACCACCAGGTTGTTGCTGTATTATGTAATTACCGGCTGGAGCTCCTGCCCCGCTAAAATGTTTAAATTATGAGTCAGTTAAGTTAGAGGTTAAGTTTTTACAGTTTGAATTCTTATACTCGATGTAATATTCTACAAATTTATATTTGTTTTAGTATAATACTTTCAAAATATATCTTGTGGATATCGATGTTCGTAACAGTTTAAATATGTCAATTAATTATTGAAATTTATTTTGACATACCCGTGTGATGTTACAGGTGTATGTGGTTCTTGCAAGTAAAGAGGTTGTTGATAAGACGGCGCTCCGCCCGGTGGTGCCAAACCGTCTTGAGCTGGATTCATCATTCCAACCTACGAAAAATAATATTAAACATTCTTGTTTTACAAATATAACAAATAAGGTAAGGAAGAACTAAACAAAACAAAGGATGTTTAAAAAACTAAACTTAACAAAAGATAATAGATCTGTAGTCTACGGAATAGTGATGTCATAAAGATTTCACGTTCACAAAACAGACTTTATATACGAAGTATCGATGTTCGTAAAAAGTTAAATCGATACGTTGATAACAAGATATATATTCACGATGGAGAAAGTATTTGTACTTTTATTGTGCTAAATTAAATTCTCGATTAAATAATTTTAAGCCTTTTTTTATCTAGGTCTTGTTTTCACCTTGTTATTTTCTTTTTTAATTAATTTTCTTGATTGTTCCTGCTTATAGCTCAACTAACTTTTTATCAGACGAGTTATCAGCTAGAGTTATCTGAGGGCGATAGTAATAGGTCAACGTCTTCTTGGTTGCGATTTAAATAGTCAAACAAAAATGTTATAAAACAGATTCATAAATAAGGGAAGTTATTGCCGAGAGCCGGCAGCAGCGGAGCCGAACGGGATATTATGATTGTTGATATACTTTTGGAATTCAGATACAACTATCTTATAAATTACACTATAACAGTAGTGTCGTTTTGTGATGATTATATTACTACCGCACAAACCGATTGAACTTACATGAGTGGACAGAGACAGGTTTCTTCACTGATGAGTGCTGAGTGCAGAGTTCTTTTATATCGGATTGATGGATGGAAGACAGTGGATATGAAAGAGTAAAAAAGAGCGCTACATTCGGTTTAATTTTGTAAATACAGTGGTATGTATGTAATTACAGCAGCAGTCTCAATTATGGTGTGGGGAGGAGCGAAGAATGTTTAGGAGTTCTTACTGAGATAGTCATATTCGATGGAGGATATCAGGAACATTTTAGACGAAGACGTGCCGTTTGCCTCCTTTATTGGTGATGACTTTATTGTATTACCGGATAATGCTCGCATTTATCAAGTAGAGAAAAATGATATATAAAGAATTTTTATATCCGCTTATTATGCCGGTGTATATACAACTTTTAAAAGGCACGAATGAATGTGAATATACTTTCATTCGTGCCTTATCGGCACCTAAGCACAAAAAGTATCAATGATACTTTTTATTTATTTAATTATTTTAAGTACTCTTATCCTCAGGATTTGTTAATAAAGCAATGGTTTTGCTCAGTTTAATTATTATATATTTAAGTTCAAACGACTAGTAGTGTACCTGTTCGCTTATTAAAATTAAAATGTAATTGTTTTTTCCTACACATAGTAAAACCAGATAAAAGTTTAAGAGTGTGACCACCCTCTTGCCGAAATCATCGCTTGCATATTCCTGGGCACGATACCAAGTATATCCCTTAGTGTTTCTTGTTTCCACTCTGAGGTCAGCTACTGATTTAACTGATTTATACCCTGACAAGTTCTATGAGATTGATGTCAGGACTTCAAGCTGGCTAATCCACATATTACACAATAGACCCGTGGCTGCGAACGCTGTCTTCTATAAAAATTGAGTTTACTCTAATAGACGCCAATGCCGGCTGTGTATAAGGGATTGCAAATTCTATTATGTATCAGTATCCAGTTAGCGTGCCATTTGGCATGAAGGCTAAAGTCGTGGAGTCGAATTTATTCCTGCTCAAAACGTAACAGAGCCTCAACCATAAGGTATTATTCTTCAAAACATGTCAATAGGTTAAATAGTTGCAAATATTTTCTTATTTCTTGAAGTTTATTAAGCTCCACATACGAAAGTCTGTTCTTTCTCAATGGTTGGCTTACTTCCAGGACAGTCTCTCTTGGAGAAACCTTTCTCTTGATAGCGTAGTTACGCCCTTTGGATTTTCGAAGGACTCATAATAGCTCAATTCTTAAAATGCACAATATTAACAAGGTTCTACATTTTACATTCGAGATGGTTAGCCGAATACTTAATGGCGCTGTATGCGCTTTTTGAAACTTTTAGGTATATTGGTGGGGTCTACACCCTGGTGCCGCAGAGGAAGTCGTGGATGAGTGATTTCGCTTGCTTCTGGGCGCATAGCGAGAAATTCGCCGACGCGGTGTGATTTTTTTAAAAGAACATGGTATTTTTTTAGGGTTCCGTACCCAAAGGGTAAAAAGTGACCACATTACAAAGTTTATGCTGTCTGTCTATCCGTTTGTCACCAGGCTGTATCTCATGAACCTTGATAGTTAAGACAGTTGAAATTTTCACAGATGATATATTTCTGTTACCTGCCACTATAACAAGAAAATACCAAAAAACGGAAAAAAATATGGCTCCCATACAGCAGACATGACTTCCCTTTTTATAGAATGGTAATTGAACCCTTCGTGTGTGAGTCTGTGATAAGTAAAAAACCGGCCAAGTGTGACTTACACTTTTACTTATTATAGAAATAATATATTATGAAATAATTAATTATAGCTTTTAAATGTTTAAAATGGGCGATGTTGAACATTTCAATTTTATCCTGTAAAAGTTAAAAATTACTATGCATAATATCTTATCACTTTTATCTATAGAACCGTAATTTAGTTATTGTCACTGGTGGTCCATTTAACAGCTAAATTCGCTGGATAGAATTCAATCTTGATAGGGACTTTTTTGAAAACACGAATTATTTGCAGCGGTTGTTGACCCAGGACGGTAAAAGTTCGCAATTATAATTTTATTAAAATTACGTCACGCATTATCTCACTCGCGGCAGACTGCCGTCTTCATGTCATGTGCATCACTTATATGAGCGCAATGGTGTCTATACATTTTTATTTTGTTCTGAGGCGATGGTGCGATGTTTCGTTCGTCTCGTTCGTTTATAAAAAATTAATACAGTCTTGACATTGCTTGACTTTGTATACTTTGATGTTCTACTTGCTGTTGTCATTTCACTTAACATATCTCCTTGCATGGACGCCGGCAGCGTGTACGAATTCAAGATACTTTTTCTGACTGGTCTGCTGTCACGGCTGGCGTCCCGCAAGGTGGCGCGTGTTTCCTCTATTGTTCTCTACTCTACTACCACCTATATGCAGACGATTTACAAATCTACTCCCAATGTAAGATTGCGGAACTACCCAATACAATTGGCTTAATTAATGACGATCTTATCCGCATTTATCATTGGTGTAACTCGTTTGGGCTTAAAGTAAATCCATCGAAGACTCAAGCCAGTATCGTTGGAAGTACGAAATTAATTTCTCGTTTATCTTTGTCACAGCTCCCCCCAATCATATTTGAAGCATCAGTTATCCCATACACTGACAAAGTTAAAAATTTGGGCATCATATTTAACCAAACGTTATCTCGGATGCCGCAAATTAGTGAGTTAAGTAAGTAGATGTTTGCCGCAGTTGGCTCACTCCGAAGATTACGTTATGTCCTCCCCATTTCTAGTAAAATTGCGTTAGCTCAATCTCTTTTTTTACCGATCCTTGACTACGCGGACACTTGTTATCTGGATCTAACTGAGGAGCAACTAAATAAACTTGAGAGGCTTCAAAATTACTGCATAAGGTTATAAACGTTTGGGTTGCGAAAGTATGACCAAATATCCGGATTCCGCCATAAGCTCAAAAGGCTCCCGATTCGTCTATGCAGGAATATTTATATTCTTCATCTTCTTTACTGCATTCTGTTCAATCCTACCACTCCTCATTATTTAAAGGATCGATTTATATATCTAAATGATTTACACTGTTTTTCTCTCCGTTCTCAAAATAATTTTCTGCTTAGTACTCCTAGTCACTCCTCTTCCTTCTATGCTAATTCTTTTATGGTTACTGCTATACGTCTTTGGAATTCTCTCCCCTTAGATATTAAACAATCTAAATCTTTTAACATTTTTAAAACTAAATTAAAATTTCATTACCTTTCCTCTTAATCTTCTATCTATCGTCCATTATATATTATATTCTGGTTAAAAGGCCGCCTGTTGTACCCGTGTGTTTTTTTAATTATAAGTACTTTAATGTTTCTTGGTGTACAATAAATTATATTTAAAGTATATTTTACTTTTACTTTACTTTTACATAATATTAATATTAAAAATAACTTACTTCCATCAACAGATTAAAAAAATAGTGTCGTTCATTTTAAATATTTTACATTAGTGATATTAATTTTATATATTTTTTGCTACGAGAATACTGATGTACGATGATGTAAAATTGATACAGTAATTTTTCTCTCGTTTCAATTGCAGTAAATTTTGCAACAAAATGTAAAAATAAATTTTGATAGCCTTATTTTGACTATATACAGTGCCTTATAATAGCAAGAAAACTATATAATTCAATAAAAATCTGGAACGTATTTTTTTAAACATCGCAGGTATTTAATAGTCATCATTTCAGCCTGTTTAAGTCCAGTGCTGAACATAGGTCTCTTCCACAGACTGCCACGAAGTATGACCTTGAGCCACCTGAATCCATTGACTTCCCGCACACTTGCACATCGGTCGTCACGCCATCTAGTGGGGGGTCGTCCTACCCTGCTATGGCAAGTTCGAGGCTGCCGCTAGAAACCTTTCTTCCCTAACGGATATCGCTTCTACGAGCTTATATATGGCCGGTCCATCGCCACTTCAGCTTACTGATCTTCTGAGCTCTCGGTTATCTTTGTACTACTGGATGTAGCTCTCTCTATAGCTCGCTGAGCCGAGTGCTCGATGTGAGCTCGCCATCCAGTAATATGTTTAAATCAATAACACTAGTGTTCTTTATTTTTTATTTAGGCAAGAGAAAAATTTATAGAACTCGTTTTATTTTGCAAATGATGTATGGTATAGATATGAATGATGTTATATATACATCATTTGCAATATGTTAATTAAATATTTTGTACTCCACAAAAATATTCGGCGACAGCAATGAAAGGTTTTTTTGCCATGTGAGTTTATCATATATATTATATTCACATCTAGATATCGATCGCATCGCCACATAAAATATTTTATTTTTATCCGTCGCTTGAGTGCGTAAAGGTCACGGACTGGAATAAATAATAGTTTAAAGAAAACAAAACAAAAACACGCTTGTGTAGATAAGCGAACTAAAAAGTTTAAATAACTTTAAATTATGAATAGTGTAATTAACAAAAAATGTAGGAAAGCGCGGGGGGCTTGAAGTCAATTGTTATATTTTAATGAAATTATAAATAGTTTACCGCCTAGAGAAGTTTTTCACTCTTTAGTTAAAAAATGGGATCTTTCCTTAAGTTTGCTATTGTAAGTCATTACGTCCCAGAATTAAATCCTTAAACGCATAATATATTATGATACATTATTTGGTGTTTGCAATTTATTTGTTGATATGTTATTTTAGTTTCAGATTTTTGTCAGTAGCCAATCAATTGTATATTAATAACTACAAATACCCATGAGGTTTATATGAAATGTAAATTTATAATTCTCTAAATTTTTTATTCGGTGTTCGAAATGGAAACTTTTTAACCAATTTCAATATTTTAGGGAATGCTATACTGTATGCGCTATATCGCATGAGACTTTATCATCCAACCATATATACGTACTTCTTGCTTTTGAACAGATATAAATACTTCACATAAAATACTCAATGATACCTATTGAACGGCAATTCAATTTCAATAAAAGCAATCTAAAAAGTAGGGCAGATAATCGAGGACGCATTTCGTAAAATGGGTATCGGCATGACTGCAGAATAAATTTATGTAAGTAATTATAGTAACGTAATATGCTATGAAATATTCTACTAGACATTGTTAGTAGATAGGTACTGGCAACAAGTATATGATGTTATGTATAATCTTCACTGTAAATACATATGATGTAACCATACAACGAAGTAACCTTACTTACATATAGACTGAGTTACTATAAGAAACCTATCTCTTATCCTTTAAACGAGCAATTCTTGTATATAATATATATATAATCGGAATCTCGGAAACGGCTCCAGCGATTTTCATGAAATTTAGTATGTGCGTAAATTCAGGGGCGAAAAATCGATCTAGATAGGTATCATTTTTAGAAAATGTTCTTTTATCCCTGTTTTCAGGGACAGAAAAATATCATTCGAATATGACGATAATTTCGCTGCAAAAAAAATGTTATAATAGCTCGGTCAGTAATCGGGCAGCGCCAAAACAGACGGCCGTGGTTCGTGTCACGATCATTTACACACTCTTTTTTTTACTTTTTTTTCGATTCGAGATCATTGCTTTCTTTATTTTTTATTTTTTGTTGATCCAGATGTTTTTTTATTTTTTTCCCTTTTTTTAAGTTGTTTCTTTTGTGAAAAACACCACTTCATATTTTCTTATTATTAGGTCGGTAAGATCGAAAAATATTATGCATATTTCATTACTCAGTAATTTGTATCTAAATGTAATTTACAAAATACACGATTTAAAAAAAAAACAGTCCCCTCGGTCCTCCAGGTACTTAATATAAATTAGATAATAAAATTCACTAGTGACAATTAAATGGTTATTTTGGTTGGTTATTCACTAGTGACTATTAATTATATATATAAATTATAGCCTCTGTCTTATTCTGATGTATAAGCTATATTTGTGTGACATCTGATTATAACAATTTTTAAGTTTACTTTTAAATGCGGCCATGATTCGACTACTGATTCACAGTGAAATTAACAATTAAATCGATTCTCACTTCGATTTCAAATTTTTTACAGTGAAAATAAATTAGTAATGTAAATTGTGGATTTCTCGTAGCATTTGAGGTACATAGGAATTAAATAAGGAAATAGTTGCGCGAAATAGTGTATGAACCTGTGATACCGAATGATATTATAACTGATGAACAAATCTAGGTAACTTTATTTTACTAACTGTGTTTATATGTATACTATGTTTATATGTCCAAATACATAGAGCACTGACCTGAGGCGCGGAATGATGTATTTGTGTATACTGTATTTGCGTGACATGCACTACACCGCTGGGTGCATGCTGGCCATGTATCATTGGAATATCAAATTCTTCGTCTCCAAATGATGGCGTGTGAAATGTCTGGAACAAAGATAAAAAACTTTCCATTACTAAAGGAACTCAATTAACATTCAATGTCGTAAAATGTATTAAACATTCAAAACATAATACATGAATATTTCATTTATAAATATACACTTTTATCATTATAGTCGTAATAAGAAAGTCGCTACGAGAAAATTATATTACTAAAAAAGTTAATTCAACGAAATGGCAATAAAAAGTCCTCTTTGTAATTCTACCATTGTTGTTTAGCTCTATTGTCGTGTTACACAAGTCACTGGTATTATGTTCTTCATATTTCCACATGACAAAAAACTTTTGTATGAGATTTAAATTATAATATGCGCATGTTTGGGAAAATGCAGTTTAAAGAAATTTTGTCTACAGAGACCAATCTTGGGAGATCGTTTTTAATTTATTTCAGTCAATTTTCACCATATGTCAAGTGTAATATCCCTCTAGAACAGGGGTGAGCAACCTTTTTAATCAATGGGCCAATTTAAATTTAAATTTTTTTGGCGGGCCGCACATAATAATTTACGAAACTTTATTTATAATAAATATTAGAATAACAAAATATGAAATTAAAAAAAGTAAAGATTTCATATACAAATTTAGCAAGGTAAAAACAAACAAAAAAAGAACAGAAAAACGAACAAAAAATATTACAAGGTTCAGTATGTACTACCATTTTATTATAATTAATTTTATAACAATATATTGATGGACAATATATAATTCAATTTTAGAAATGCTTGGCGGGCCGCATAAACATGTTTAACGGGCCGCGCGTTGCTCATCCTTGCTCTAGAAGATCCAGGAGTGTACAGGCTGACTGCGAATGTGGGCTCTCTTATATAAGACAAAGTTAAAGATCAATTGAAACCAGAATAAAACAACACATAGCTGATATGGACCAACGACGGTTGAAGTAGTCTGCACTGTGATCATATTTAAGACCGCCCCAACCACTACATTAGATTTGATCATCCGAAAATCCTCGCAAAAGAACGCAGATTCCTTCAAAGGATGATCCGCGAGGCTATTGAAATTACGAAACATCCTAATTTCAATAGAGAAGAATGTTGGGGTTTATTTTCTGCTTGGGATCCCATAATTTATAAAATTAAATCCAAGCCAAGATAACATAAGCTCCTTTTGCGTATTTCGGAACAAAAATAAACAAAAAATATAATTATTATTATATATAATATAATAATTGACGCTAACCGGGCTTAACTTCGACATCAAGACGAACAAACAACTTAGTCTGTCCTGTGTCCATGAACGATGGAAAGGAATCGAAACGTCGGGAATTACAAAATCAAAATTAAAACGTGATAAAATTCGTAAACTATTTTTTTATAATATGTATAATATTCGCGTAAAATCAAGAAGTTAATTGGCCGTTTCTCAATGCGCTGAAGCGTTTTTTTCAAAATCAAAATCAAATGTATTTATTCAACATAGGAGCATTACACTCACTTATTGATAGTCAAAACACTACCACCGGTTCGGAAAAGAAAGCCACTGTACTGAGAAGAACCGGCGAAAGAAACTCAGCGGGCTTTTTTTTTTTTTTTTTTAAATAAGCAGTTTGACATAAATTCGTTAAAATACAATATAAGAACTCCGATTGAAAGAGCCTGGAGCGATCAGTTCATTACCAGAGTGTGTTATCATTTAAATAATCATTAATATTATAGTAGCCTTTAACACACAAACGTTCTTTTACTATTTTTTTAAATTTAGCTATTGATGCATTTTGAACGTTTTGTGGAACTTTGTTGTAATAACGTATATATTGTCCCATAAAGGATTTACTTATTTTACGGAGTCTACTTGTGGGTAGGATCAATTTATTTTTGTTCCTAGTATTTATATCATGAACATTATTATGTCTTAAAAATTTATCCTTATTTTTATGGACATACAAAACATTTTCAAAAATGTATTGAGCAGCAACAGTCAATACCTTTATCTCTTTAAACAAGTTTCTTAACGATTCTTTGGGGCCCAGATTGTAAACTGCACGAATAGCTCTCTATTGTAAGATAAAGATTGTATTAATGTTGGCCGCGTTACCCCAAAGCAGAATGCCATAAGACATTATACTGTGAAAATAACTAAAATATACCAAGCGAGCCGTATCTACATCAGTTAACTGTCTTATTTTTTTGACCGCGAAAGCTGCTGAGCTAAGTCTACTCGCCAGTCTATTAATATGGGGGCCCCATTGCAGTTTGGCATCAATAGTTATGCCACGGAATACAGTTGAGTCAATAGGGTCCAATCCGTTGACGTGATGAAGGAGGGTCCTGCTTTGAGGACGCTTCCATGGAACATTTTCCGAGACAACAGGCAAACAATAGTTAACATACAAGTCTGCAGTAACTGTCCTTCCATCTTCCAACACAGCTGTCGCGAAATGACCTTTCTGACCGAAAAACGAGGCAATCATATTTTTCCTTGACTTCTTCCTTTCTTATCTTAAGTTGGCTGATCCTCAAAAGGAAACACCCACAGACCAGATTGTCTTTTGGTCTGGTCCCGTCTGCTGGCACGTCACTCTCTGATCTACTTCTATCATGCGTCTCAACAACACCTATGTTATCTTCAGATGTCGCTGTTGAAAGATTTCACTGAGATAGCTAAGCCGACGCTAAACTCATTAAACTAATTGTAACAGTGGCACGGGATGGAGCTTCATTATATGCCAATCGAATTAAACGAGTCATAATAATTCATGCAATTCCAAATCAAAAAAAAAAATGAATAAAAAAACAGATTAGGTTATCAAAGAGTTCTATATTCAAAATTTAAAAGAAGTTTTCATTGGAAATGTTTTTAAATTTGTTTCTAAGTCTGCCATGCTATAAAAACTTTTAGTATCACCCTGGTACTTATTACTAATTTAAAATAAAGTCTTGTAAAAATGATGTCTATTTGGTATCTTTCAATATTCATTAATCTTAATATTTTATCACAAAGTTCCTTGAAGCGAAGACTGCGAGTTCCTTATTCTAGTTGTCAGTCCCTGGTCTCAGTTGAACTTAATGTTCAATAAAATGTAAAGGTATAAATTATTCATAAAATTAACGCCTATTTAATACAAGATTCGTACAATTAAAACATGAATGTTCCACATGTATTTCTTATGTTCTACACACATAAGTGCACATTTAAAGCAAAATGTGCCGCTTGCACCTTTTTTTAGACCTAGAGGTCATTGCATATCTTGACGAATGTTGCGATCATAATGTTGGTATATACTAAAATCATAACGATGCCGACTATTTTTATTGAACATATATAATTCTTATTTAGTTCTTTTACAATCAAGCTGAACAAAACTGTACCGTACGTTTTTTGTTTTACATTTTAACTGATTTATGGAGTTATTCGAAGATTAACAACATATTTTACAGGAACAAGTTTATTTTTATTAACAAAAAACGAAACCAACTTCAAATATCTCATTCTCACAACGAACTCCGTACAAATGTATAATACAATTGTGAGGAGTTCCCTGATGTATCCCCGCGGCATCCAAGGTCTAACACCATTGAAATTATTAAAGGGGTAATTAAACATGGGTGCTGAACCAAACCCAATTCAAAAATCATTTTTAAAATCATAAATGACGGAGTTCCGAGGTAACAAACACAAAAAACATACAACCGAATCGAGGTCCTTCTCCATTTTGAAATCGGTTGATAAAGGTGTCTTTATCACCGATACGCATGAAAGCTGCTCGAGTAGAAAAAAACAGTTACATACGAGTATAAGCAAGTTTCAATGCGCGATCAAAAGTCATTTGGAACAATCGCTAGTTTTGTAATAAAGAACGTATGGAAAAACATGGCATACAAATAATTTTACTACTAACCTGATCATTCATAGCGTACACACTTGGCTTCGTCTCACGAGGACCGGACAGGGACGTTTCAAGGTTTTCGGGCCGCTGTAAAAATAATGAATTTTTAATATCAGCACTAACATCATTTGTATAATAAAACCGTAAAGTTTTACATTTTCTGGGCATAAATAGCAGTCTTATTACATAAAATAAAGAAAACTTTATGAGAGAAATAATGCAGGTGTCCGTAGTTTGCGCTCGGATAGGCACAGTTATTAATAATATCTTTAGAAAACGTTTACTGAATAGGTTAAAAGATAAATTTATTGATTTGAGTTTTTTGTTTAACTTTAAAATAAACGTTGAGAAACAAGATAGGTGTATAAAAGTTTTATGTAATATCAAATTTCGTTCAAATGTAAATAATTCGGTTATGTATTATTTAACGGGAAATAAAAATGTTAGCTAATGTTTATTACTATTCCGCCAATCATCAATGGGACTGCTTGGACTATTAAATGCCTGCCTATACGCGTGGCCATGACTTAAGACTTAGTTTACATTGCTTTTTATGACCCCCTTTTTTTTTACAAAATATTAAAATAAATTAACACGAATAGTTACTTGAGCAATTATTCGCGTTTCCGTATTCCCTGAGATGTGGGTATACGCATTTAGCGATGTTTCCACATTTTCATAGTTACAATTGAAACATTACGTATTATAGGAACTTTTTGGTATTAGGCTATGAAAAACCACTTTCAGAATTATCTATTAGAAAATATGGCATGTTAATGTTATATGGAAGGTCATTGAATTTAGGATAGTTATTCTTTTCATTTAGCGTTTCAACTATGTAGTGATTATTTGCAAAAGGACAGAGTACAACCATAAGACAAAGATTCCTTTCAGTTTTAACTTGAAACAGATAGACAGAATTTTTCATATCTTTGCCTAGAAGAAAATATCATATGTATATCTATGAACAAAATCAAATTATACTAAATGAAATATTGTATAGATGGCTATCTGAATTAATGAACGTAACTAAATATTAATATAATTAAATATCGACGACTGAGTCGCATATACTTATAACTTTTGTTATTATATTTTAACAACGATACAATTAATACCCCATTTTTTAATTCAACTCGGATATTTTCTGCGGATTCTGTAAAAAAACCAAAGTGGCATCAAGGTGTCTATCGTTTAATAGCAGACAGTAATTCAACTACTTTTATTTTTTCCTTCTTTTCCAGTTCCGTTCCGTTCCTTTTTATAGGAATTAAAAAGAAACAAATAAAAAACAATTGAAACACTTTTTTTTACATCAAGGGAGTTATTAAATAGTTAAATTATGTCCCGTTCTACAAAATTGTTCAGTTGCTGATATTTATGAGCAAAATAAAAATTATGATTAGTAATAAATAGTCGCATAGTTACAAGTGCTGTGCGGTTGAGAATGCTATTTCAACGCAACTTTATAGCCATTTGGAATTACAGTCTTAAGAAATACTAACTGGATTGAGAATTGGCGCACACGATTGCACGAATATAGTTATTACTTATCAACTCACATATTTAATTTGCGAGCGAAATAAACACGAATAACTTTTCATTATAAAATATTAAAATAAATTAACACGAATTAAGGTACGTGATCAATTATTCGTGTTTCCGTATTAAATAAGATGTGAACATTTGGCGATCTTTCCACAATTTTTATAGCATTACAGTTGAAATATTACATATTATTGGAACTTTATAGTATTAGGGCAATAACAACTACTTTCAGAAGTATCTATTGTAAATATAACATGTTAAAGTTATTTGGAAGGTCGTCCAATTTCACAAGTTATTCATTTCGTCGTAGCGTTTCAATTTTATTTCACTGTAATACATCAACTGTAACTTGTAAAGTGGTTATTTGCGAAAGGACAGAACAACCATGAGACAAAGATTCCTTTCAGTTTCAAGTTGAAACAGATACTTTTTCAAATTGCGTTAGTTCATATCTTTATCTAAAATGTAAGAAAATAGTATAAGATGTCTGTACTATAACTGAAAAGGGTCATTTTAAAATACTACCAAAACATTTATTTTAAATTTTTGACTACTTATTAACTAGTCTGCTACATTTAAAGTGCTGGATACTTACGATAAAAAAGCTTTTAACTTGAAACTTTGTATCAATTAGCATTAACAGTTTTTTTTTAACTTTAGATAGGGGAAAAATAATACACTTACTTTGTTTACATGTACTTCTTTAACTCAACTTAACATAATACATGTACTTTGTTTAACTCAAATTCCATGCAAAGATGCGGGCAACAGTAATAATTTGTTAGTTCCTTAACGAAGTGATACATACCTATTTATCTCAAATAATTTTTGCACTGACACTAGTTATAGTTGCAGCAATTTATGTAATGTTGACTGATCCTGACTAAAAATTGTGAGCCGTGGATCTTAATCAAGCCAGGCCTTATATTGATACAGAGAGGTTTGTAATACATCGTAATAACATAATTTAAATGGGATTTCAGGATACTATGGTATATTTTCTTTTATCTCTATATCTGTTAAGTATATTAAAAAAATATTAATAAGTCAAATTTCCAATTAAAATGAAGTTTATATAACATACATAGAGGAGCATTCATAAGATACTTAACAACGTCTCAATGATCATATCGTGTTAATCGAATTTAGCAGAAAGTCCATTGCATGTTCCTTAATAAAAATAATTGTATGTTTAATGGGAATAAATGGTTTTTTGGTATATTTAAGTATTAGTCTAAATGAGAACATTGTGCGACGACGTTGAGAAATAGAATTCGAAATAGTGAACCATCGAGCAAGCAATACGCAGTTTTGAAATCATACAAATTGAATACAGCATTCAAAATACCTGTCCGTTACTTTGTGGGCTCAAGGTTGAATTTAGTTATAATAAAAGTCAAACGTCTACAACAGGCTATTTTTGTTACTGATAAAACGAAATATTTCACCGTCACTGTGATTTGATTTGCTACTTTTTTTCGTGTATGAAAGTAAGGACAGATAGATAATAGATGAATAACAAACGTATTTTGTATATATTCGTGATGCTAATTTTTTATAGATACTAGCTGTCCCGGCAAACGTTGTTCTGCCATATAAATTATTTCTAGGGAACTTGTAGGGTAGAAAATACTGTTTAGGGTGGACCACCCTTAACATTTGGGGGGATGAAAAATAGATGTCCGATTCTCCGCCCTAGCCGATATGCACACAAAATTTCACGAAAATCGGTCGAGCCGTTTCGGAAGAGATCAATTACAAACACCGTGACACGAGAATTTTATATATTAGAGAGATAGTCAGACATATAAAATTAAAAAGAGGAAATAACATACATCTTGTCATCGTCAAGATTTATAAGTATGTATAAGGTAATTATAATATATAAGCTCCACAAAACTACTGAATATAAAAAAGTTTTCTAAAGTTATAGTATTTATAAAGAAAACCATTTTAATTAAGAAAGCTCATTCGTTAAATACGTCAGTATTACGAAGACTCCGCTATCTTCACGTTGAAGTCATAACGTAAATACATTTTAATCGGTGTCCCAAAAATCGATTGATCAATATTGTGTAGTGCCTTGACTACAAGTCGGTCTCATTCCTCTCGGACCGGTTTCTGTAGCACACCGGCTGCTGCGCTCCCAATGGGCCTTTATACACATTGCACGCCACTAACAACGAGTAAGTGAAAGGACACGCAGATAATTGCTTTCTGTACTATTCAATTTTGTAATAATATCAAATAAATAACATTAAATTTTATTCAACTTTAATAAGATCTGATCAATTACAAATCCGGATCCATTTAAAATACTTCCCTAATGAAATTCGGTTTTGTTTGATATAAATGGCAAATTGAAATAAAAAGGAACAAAACAAAATATCGATAAATCTCCGGTCCTAATGCGCTATTCATAACGATTGTATGATTGTAATACGTTTTTAGAGCGTGGAAAGTAGAAAGTTTTCTAAGTGGGTAACTTTAATATTCGTCGAAAACTATCTACGTATTTGTTCATATCATTTTGTACTTTTACGTTAAGTTATGTGTGGAAATATAAATTTTAAATATGATACCAAATCAAAACGAATTATGTGGTGCCAATGCATGGAATAGTAAATTTCAACGTACAGTTTAACTCCATTAAAGACGTGGCCTGTTGTGTGGTGAAGAACTCTTAAGGAGAACATAATTGCCGGTCGGTGACCTCGTTTAGTTCCTCCCACTAAAATAGCGTTAAATCAATTGATGTTATTACAATTGGAACGCATCGTAACCTGCTTAAATTGTGTGGGAATATGTTAAAGTTTATACTCATTATAATAAGACTCAAATATAAAATTTAAAGATTTTAAGTTATTTTATAAAAGTTTTGATAGTTCTCAGTAAATGTTTGAAAATATAACTGTGGAAATTTTTTATTTAGGAATTCTTATTTCGAGTTCTCGTTTCTATTAAAGTGTATCTTATGTTCGAATTAAAATGAAAATGAACAAAAAATGTCATATAATTTAGAAAGATAATTTGGAAATATACGGTCGCTCCTTAGTTAATGATGTTTATTTGACATATCACATATCATAATGAAACTAAATAAATACAGTCATTTTCTGTGCTCTCGATACAGAAAAAAAGCCGGAAGATTTTTTGTATTGTTATTAATTTCGAGTCCATAAAGAATTCTATTAACATTTGAGTGCTTACATAAAAATTAAAAGGCTATTGTAGTGGCCATTTATCAATTGATTTTGTATTCTTGAACGTGTACTCGAAGTTAACAGAATAATCGTTATTTTCTAAATTCCACCACGGACGGCGTCTCAGGTAACGGCTAGTGCATTTTATTTCGGGCTTTTATGATGACTGTTATAAGGTTTTTAAAAGGTTTCACTTTATTAGTTCGAATTTAGGTCAGCTTAAGAGTGGGGCGTGTCATAACTGTTGTATATTAATTTTTTATTGATATTTTATAATAATTAACATATTATCTTCTTTTGTAGTAGGGATTTTTGTGTAAATTTATTATTACACAATTCTTAATGATAATAGGTTAATATAACGACAGTAATAAGCGGAATAATATTTTTTATAAATTTATAGTCCTTATATTGCAATTTAGAAAAATTGTATTCGTAATCATTAACCATTAGGTATTCCTTATCACAATATCAGGAGGCAGTAAATCATATCTTACCTACATACGTTCTACTTTGTTAGCAGATAGCGATATAAAATTATCAGCGTTTGTGTATTTAATGATATTTTTACAATTAATATTAAGCGTGTATGTCTATGAGCAAAATCAAATTATACTAAATGAATTGAATACATAGCTATCTGAATTAATGAACGTGACTAAATATTTGAATTAAAATAATCAAATAATGACGACTGAGTCGTACATACTTATATTTTTCGTTATTATATTTTAACAACGATACAATTATTATTTTAATTCTGATCAGACAAGGCCATCGAAATCTTTTTGATTCTATAGTGAAGAAGTTAAATAAAGAAAGTTACAATTAATGTTAACTTAAATTTTAATTATAGGGTCTTAGTGCTAGTTAACTACTGAAATCGAAACGTTCAAAATAACATTTATAAAATATTCTTTCAATTAATCGCCTTAAAATGTAAACTTAAAATACTTAAATGAATAAAAAGTACCAACCATTCAGCTTGTTGTATCGGCCATATGTTTTATCCAGACTACTCGTCGTTATACATTCCATACATTAATTTAAAACATTCCGGTTCCATATAAGTTCTAATTAATCTATTGAGGAAGTAAAAAATTTAACAATTAAAGTTTTTTTGTTGGAGCACTGAAATAGTTACACAGTACGTCAGTGTCGAAACGTATCACGTTGGATCACAAAGTGGTGACACATACAGTTATTTTATTAATTGCCGCACTTCGGCGTAAGCATTTAGTTTGTACTCAGTTTGAACGATTGAGGAGCACTGTTTAAGCACGCTAGACACACGTGCGAACCGCGCGGGAAGACTGCGTGGCGGTCGAGACGAGGCGCGCGTCGCGGTGGGGCGCCGCGTATTCGTTGTATAGTGCGGGTGCAAGCCGTACCACGCTGGTGGCGCTAATGTTCTCCCATCCAAATTGAACATGGCTTTATCCCGTGTTCCCGTGATAGATCAGTGTCCTGGTGTCCGGGCGCTCACCTTTAATGCAATATACTTGAGCAACCTGAGTTCGATCCCCGGTGCCGGCACCAATGAAATTGTTAATTTCAAGTGCTTAATTATCACGAGGTCAGTCGTGAAGGAAAACATTGTGAGGAAACCTGCATATTTTGGAAATAATTACAAAAAAAAATATTTCGAAGATATGTAAAGTCCGCCAATCCGCAGTGGGGCGGCGTGGTGGACTATGCCCTGATACCCTAGAACATGTACAGGCTGATATTTTACTTTTTATCCCGTGTATCTTAAGACGGTTCAAAATGTTATTGTTCAAAATGCCTGTTTTACCTTTTTCGCTAAAACTATTATCAACAAAAGGTTTATGGACTATTGGAGTTAGCTTGGTTAATAAATTAACTCGTTGTTGTTAGGCTTGTAATAAAAAGGCAATTTCTTATTAACATTACAAATTCATAAGCAGTTCAGTCACGCGACCCTATGAAATGTTTCCGGTAGAATGTTATAGAACTTTAATATAATTTATGTATCTTCATAAACGTAATTCAAATTTTCATGTTCTATTTTATGATATTTATTAAATAATGACATGTAGGATTTGAAATCTTTTCTAGCATTCCGATACAGGTCTAATTTTGTAAATTATAACCAATGAAAAAGCACTTCATAATTTTTTAAATAAAATAATGTGACTAACGAACGGGCTTTGCTTAAATTACCCGCTTGTCCTGGGAAATCAGGACCACGAGCCTCACAGAAGGCCTGGAGAAGAAGTTTTTCGTTTCGTCCGGTGGTGAGTGAGGTAGCCTGAGCCCACCCTTTTAACGATTGGCACCCCGTGGGTGATGAGGATTATTGATTAACGGAGCTTAAGATTTTTTTTAATTTGAGAAAGTGGCGAGAAAGTGACGAGTTGGCGGTTCACCTGATGTTAAGTGACAACCGCCGCTCATGGACATTTGCAATACCCGTACGATTGCAGATGCGTGGCCACCTTTTAATAAAGAAGGCAACGTGAACTGAAATGTAAGTTCACATAAAAATGTGTTCAATATAAATAGAAGAAATAGTTTCTTATTAATTTTAAGACTTAAATTACCTTACTTCTCCATGTTACAATTAACTTGCAAACTGACGCTTCAGATCCACCACAATATATTATCCGAAACTGATGAAAACCGATGGAATGCTGACAAGAGCCGGTACCTTTGATAATATATGTTATTAGTGGAGGTTATTTCAAGTAGAAGTAAAATATAACAAAAGACCTATATATTCGCTGTTTGATATTGTCCGTTTTATAAAAAAGCCATTGAAAAATATATACTGATGTATTTATTCAAATCGTTCCTACTATTGAGTATAATTTCTTTTACATTAAAAAGTAAATTTCTCAAATGTTAACGTACTAAAATAATTTTAATGTGTAATTCAACGCCACTTAGTGTCTATTGAGGGAAACTTATGTGTGAAATTGAATTCCACTCGTTTTCTGAACACTAAAGCATTATTTCACGGGTATGTGATAGCATGCCGATAAAATGTATTGCCTGATATAAATGCCATAGTTTTATTTGTGAAATTATGTTCCGTGTGGATAGCAAAATTTTCAAAAATATTTATTTCGTTTTCAGCACATTGTGCGCACGAACAATAAACGATTACATACGTTTGAATGCTTTTAAGATGTTTTCTATTTGCTAATAAAGTTTGAGTCGCAAAATTGTTTTCCCATAACAAGGTATAGATGGATGTCAATAAAAAAATTGTGTTTCATATTTGATAGGTTTGTGTTTATGCGAGAATATAATTATTCTAGTAACAAAAGCATAAAATATCTCAATACTACGTTACTCAGTTATTGTACACAACAGATAAAAAATAAGAATATAATATATATATTTTCAACATAATATTTTGCTGGCTTTAAAGGTAAATGTCTACCATCTTTTTTCTATGGCAATGCTGGTGTTATTTCTTCAAAAGATCAGGTGTTTAGTTTTTAGGTTTTCGAACAGATGAAAATTGATGATGAAAATTTGAACACATGAAAATTGTCTAACACTGTGATGGCCAGTACGAGGCTGCCACACAAGAATCTTTCTTCTCCGTCAGGTATCGGTTCTACGAGCTATATGGCCGGCCCATCGCCACTTCAGTTTACGAATCTTCTGAGCTATGTTATCTTTGTTCTACTGTGGATATCTACATTGCGGATTCTATCACGCAGGAAAATACCAAGAATAGCCTTCTCGATACGCCCAGCAGTAAAGATTGAGGACGTTGAGGGGATATAACCACTTAGTTCCTTCTCTTTTACAAGCACGGTATACCAACACTTACACAAGGTATTACATTCTATGGCGACTCTCACCGTCAGCACTTATATAGGAGGCCACGGTCCTTGGTGGTTCTTCTTTCATTTTTTCCGTTTAAAATAATGCACGCAAAGAACCTCGGTTTACTTATGCCTAACACGACTGAATTAAAAAATTGAATTTAAAAATGTACAAAATTAGGTACTCATTTGGTGGGAAAATTTAAAATTAGGTGCTCAACTTTTTTATTAAAAAACTTTGTTATTAATGTTAACTGCCTGCTTATGATTAAGCTGGCAGTGTAACATGAAATAGTTATTGAATAAAATAATAGTATAATAATGCATTAAAATTACGTGCTTAGGTGCTTACTGCTTAGCTAGTCGATAAGTGTTAGATTCCATGCACCAGCGTTTCCCATCTCTTAGAATGTTTTGAATCTTCCATGAGTATGTTTAACACAAGAATTTTTGAACCTAATTTTTCGAAAGCGAACTAGGCATACACCGAACCCTTAGAAAATCAAAGATCTCTGAGTGTGATGTTTTGCATTCGTTCATACGAGATTCCTACAGTGTTAGCTACCCTCCTATATCCTATACCAAATGATACGAATGTATGTAATGTAACAACTGTAATGTACTTTAACATTACAGTTGTGACAGATGTTTAAATATTTTATTTAAAGGCTTATGGCACCACGTTCTTCATTGATCAATATTTATTGCAAAATCATGATCTTTAAATATTTGTAACGAACAAAATTGTATCCTTAAAATTATATTCTCTTTATATGTTCAAATATCTGAATACACATAATATGCGTACGATAACTGAATGAATGGGTTTTTACGTTGTCTCCAATGGTGTCACTTTCAAGAAACAACATTGCTTTTTCCACACCTTTCCGATACTATGAATCATAAACTAAAAAAAAATCATGTGAATGCGACACAATCTTATGTAGCTTTAATTTTAATAATCTATCAAGAAGCAATTAGTAGTGCTTGTTCTTATTTATAACTTATTTTACAAAAAGGTTTTACAATTTACCACTTACGCTGACAGTCTTGACTCGTATGATGTTTTCCGAATGTTATATTTTTGTAATGACTTACAATTAGTGTATTTATCAATTGAATTTTATTATATTTTTCAACTTCACGGTATTAGCACTGGAGCCAATAACAACTTTTTGACATTTAAAATATTAAAATTCTCGTGTCACGGTGTTTGTAATTGAACACCTTCGAAACGGCTCGAGCGATTTTCGTGAAATTTTGTATGCATATCGGCCAGGGTAGAGAATCGGACAACATCTATTTTTCATCTCCCTAAATTTTAAGGGTGGTCCACCCCTAAATTTTTTTTATTTTTTATATAAAAATTTATGTTTTTATTTTTTTAACAGGATACAAAAATACATACAACCTTAAATTTTCACCGCGGACAGCAGCTAGTTTAACTAGAATTCCAAGTTATAATCGTTATCAATTGAATTATTCTTTTTCACAAACACGGGATAAAAATTTTAATTAAGTATTTTTCTTTTGTTACGTTTAAGAAATATAATTCCTTACGTGCGTACGTAAGTACACACACACTTGAAGTAATACCACCTTCTTATTATGTAAAGATTGCATGGTATTAAATTAAAGAGATGGTTTTATAAAAAAATTGCAATGGATTTAAAGCTCAAACCTTCCCTGACACCAAAAGCATATTAGAATATTAGGTATATGAAGCAGTGGCGACTATATCCCTGCGCTTTCGCGTCAACTTACGACAACTAAAAATAGTTATTATGATGCAAAGAACCTCGGTTTACTTATGCCTAACACGACTGAATTAAAAAATTGAATTTAAAAATGTACAAAATTAGGTACTCATTTGGTGGGAAAATTTAAAATTAGGTGCTCAACTTTTTTATTAAAAAACTTTGTTATTAATGTTAACTGCCTGCTTATGATTAAGCTGGCAGTGTAACATGAAATAGTTATTGAATAAAATAATAGTATAATAATGCATTAAAATTACGTGCTTTAGGTGCTTACTGCTTAGCTAGTCGATAAGTGTTAGATTCCATGCACCAGCGTTTCCCATCTCTTAGAATGTTTTGAATCTTCCATGAGTATGTTTAACACAAGAATTTTTGAACCTAATTTTTCGAAAGCGAACTAGGCATACACCGAACCCTTAGAAAATCAAAGATCTCTGAGTGTGATGTTTTGCATTCGTTCATACGAGATTCCTACAGTGTTAGCTACCCTCCTATATCCTATACCAAATGATACGAATGTATGTAATGTAACAACTGTAATGTACTTTAACATTACAGTTGTGACAGATGTTTAAATATTTTATTTAAAGGCTTATGGCACCACGTTCTTCATTGATCAATATTTATTGCAAAATCATGATCTTTAAATATTTGTAACGAACAAAATTGTATCTTTAAAATTATATTCTCTTTATATGTTCAAATATCTGAATACACATAATATGCGTACGATAACTGAATGAATGGTTTTTTTTACGTTGTCTCCAATGGTGTCACTTTCAAGAAACAACATTGCTTTTTCCACACCTTTCCGATACTATGAATCATAAACTAAAAAAAAAATCATGTGAATGCGACACAATCTTATGTAGCTTTAATTTTAATAATCTATCAAGAAGCAATTAGTAGTGCTTGTTCTTATTTATAACTTATTTTACAAAAAGGTTTTACAATTTACCACTTACGCTGACAGTCTTGACTCGTATGATGTTTTCCGAATGTTATATTTTTGTAATGACTTACAATTAGTGTATTTATCAATTGAATTTTATTATATTTTTCAACTTCACGGTATTAGCACTGGAGCCAATAACAACTTTTTGACATTTAAAATATTAAAATTCTCGTGTCACGGTGTTTGTAATTGAACACCTTCGAAACGGCTCGAGCGATTTTCGTGAAATTTTGTATGCATATCGGCCAGGGTAGAGAATCGGACAACATCTATTTTTCATCTCCCTAAATTTTAAGGGTGGTCCACCCCTAAATTTTTTTTATTTTTTATATAAAAATTTATGTTTTTATTTTTTTATGATACAGGATACAAAAATACATACAACCTTAAATTTTCACCGCGGACAGCAGCTAGTTTAACTAGAATTCCAAGTTATAATCGTTATCAATTGAATTATTCTTTTTCACAAACACGGGATAAAAATTTTAATTAAGTATTTTTCTTTTGTTACGTTTAAGAAATATAATTCCTTACGTGCGTACGTAAGTACACACACACTTGAAGTAATACCACCTTCTTATTATGTAAAGATTGCATGGTATTAAATTAAAGAGATGGTTTTATAAAAAAAATTGCAATGGATTTAAAGCTCAAACCTTCCCTGACACCAAAAGCATATTAGAATATTAGGTATATGAAGCAGTGGCGACTATATCCCTGCGCTTTCGCGTCAACTTACGACAACTAAAAATAGTTATTATGATACAACCCACAGTTGACATAAAGTCAATAAAACTGGCCGTGGCCAAAATGATATCATGAAGAAAATTTTATATATGATTATAAAAGAATTTAGAAAATTTTAAATATGTGTATGATAGGTTGGCAATCCCACTAAAGACACAAATAGGTTGTTTTTTTTTCTTTTTCCGAAGTTAATCGTTTACTTTATGTATAGATTTATAATACTTTTGGATATGTTTCCACTTAAATTTATTAAAAATTGTTATAATTTACTGGATTTTCAAATTTAAAAAGATCTTAGAAGGAATGCGATCCTTTTTTTTACTATATCTTTTGTAATAGAGTGTTTAGAAATGTTATATCAAACACAGTTTTTGATAAAACCTTAATTAACTTAATCAAATTAATAAAAAATAAAGATTTGCTCATATTTATCATTACATATACAATATACATACACATATTAAAGATCTTAACGTTAAATCAATGCGCTATTCTTTGTTTTACGTATGCTTTATTTTTTGTTAATCTTATCCTGTCTATTTAAGCCTCATATGTACAAAATTGAGAATGTAAATTTCATTTTAGTTTTAATTAAATAGCTGTGCGACGGCTAAGATTCTTTCCATAATGCTCTGGTCGGAAGGGAGAAAGCTATATTTTAAATGGGAATTCCATTATGGAACAATATTTCATTTTGCTTACCTTATATATATTATACATTTTGTAGCATCTCTCTTGATCGTCCATGATAACTCGAGAGTCCATTTTAATTTTAAATTCTTTATCGATACACTGTTAGCAATATTGTCTGTATATTGATCTTTCATATCACATTTATGATGATTTTTAAGATAATAATCTTAATTTTGGAGCACGCTGATTATTAGTATCGTCGTCGTATTCGTTTTTTAATTTTTAATTTAAATAATGTCGGCAACAATTTTTTAAACACCTTTAAAATAAAGTTGAATTAAAAAAGGTATTAGAAGTACAAATAATTTTTTTTATGTTTCATATAAAAACTTAGGTATATGCGATTGTAGTTCAAGATTTGCCTGAGTCACTAAGCCAACGTTATACAATTTTACTAACTTTCTACTCGGTTTACGTAATTTTTTCCGCCGAAAATTTAATAAAACAACGTGGAAATAAGGACGTAACATTAAAACGATTCATATTTTCATTACATTTAATTGCTAATGCAATTATGACGATTATAAATGTTAATCAAAGTGACGCCGGCTTCTTCGAAAGTGTCTGTTCGGAAGTGAGAAAGATTCAAAATAAGAAAGCAACAACGATCGGATCCGACGAGCGGGTGCTCTATTACGGGGTTTTATCAATGGGATAGAGGTACGCGTGAGGAGCGAGGTGTCGCAACTCGTCACCGGGATCGGGCCACGTGGCCGGCACGCGGGCCTGGCGCGGCGGGACACTTGCGGAGCCGCGAGGGAGCGCCGGCCGGAAACCGAGGTGTACCGGGGCTCTTCGAGTACAGAGAAGTGGCGGCCCGCGGCGCGCCGCCCCGCACCCCGCGCCCCGCGCCCGGCACTCGCCCGTCATGCACTCCGCAGCCTTCGTCTCCACACCACCACTCACCCCGCATACTATATTCGCTTTAATCGCGAGTTAAGATCCCCGTAATGTTTCCGCGGCGCTTAGAGCTTAATTTGACGACATTCATTACACGGGACAGTCAGTTTGGTAATAAAACACTCTTTTCGTCGCACGTATAGAATTGATAAACGCTTTGCGTCACCGCTCGTTTAACATGTTTAACCGTGAAAATCAAATTGGATGGGCAAAAAAACTCTTTTAAGCATTGTAGACTGCAGACAAGTGTTCTTCCCTAGAACCCACTTGACCCGTCGCGACAACAGGGTATCTCGGGGTCTTCTATCCGCAATCTTTCTTTTTCTCACCCCTTTCTCATTCATATTTTATGAAAAGATGTTATGTAACTGTTTAAGAGTATATTTTTCACAAAACATGGTTACATACCCTCATGTTTGTAGTGAAAAATAAAATAAAAAAGTTGTAAAAATTGGGGGAGATCGGTATTTTTAGACGAAGAGGCAACAAAAATATTTCTTGTTTGCTCTGTATGTTTTCATTATTTGAATAGAACTGTGTGATTGTGTTTTAAGTAAATATTATAAAACTTGCCTTAAATAATTTTAGTATTTCGTCATTAACCAAAATTTTGGTAACATTTTGACCAATGAGAACACTAAAAGCTATATCAATGTTCTAGTTTCAGTAAAAGGTAGGTACATTGCGTGTTGAGAGGTAATGAAGTTTAAATAACCAGTTTATGTGACAAGAGTATATGGTGATCCCGAGATTCTATTGCCAATGCGATGTAATGTTCAACACCGTATTCTTGTATTATGAGTGACATATAAGTTTCTAATTTTATTTACTAAAGTTTAAGTAAGGAAATAACAGAAATATAACGAGAGGTAACAGACATTTATTTTCTTTGCTAAAAAAAGGCTGTTATGACTCAACAGAGTGTAAAGTAAGTTACACTGCAAAACTTTAAACATTCAATAATGTCCTTCTGAAGATTAGAAAAAATAGGCATCATAAATTATTGTTGCATTATTTGAAGTATTTGCTCTTCTCAAGCGATCAACTTTTTTTAATTTAAGTTTATTTTATAACCATCACCTTGTTTTCTCTCTTTATTTCACATATATTTACAAAGCGAGGATCATTTATACTTTAAACGAATTCTTTATACAGGGTCAAAGTTTCTGTACCTAACTCTCCATGACTCAGTGATCTGGTGCTTATGTGGTGGTGTGTGGCGAGGAAGCCGAGTGGGTTGTTTCTATTTGTGGTGACAGAGAAGCGTGGGTGCCGCGTGTACTGGAGTGGCAATGACCTTGACACTAAGCGAGTGGCCTTGGGTAGCACGTGGCGGCTGACACCCGCTGTCTGTTGTCGGAACGCCGCCGCCGCCGCCGCCTTTCCCAGGGGAGCTTAAAGTGGATATACCCCATCCGAATATTATACTTTTCACTATTACTCTTCATTCTCACACGATCTTCACTTACTGCAGCAATAATTTGCGTCTTCCAATAACATTGCTAATGCCGTTATACCAGATATCATTTAGTTTTTATTTTGAAAATATCGACGTGAAACTGTTGTGAAGTAGCCCTTTAATTCGTTTTGCGAAAATAAGTCGCCTAAGTTGCATAATATTGTTCGGACTAATGGAGCGCATGCTACGTACTGTTTACTACGTACAAATAACTGATTTAGCAGCTCAAATGTCACATTAAAAACTTTGTATAGTTTAGTCCTAGAAATATTAATAATTACTTAGGACTGTATCAAAAGATCATTATATAACCGTATGTTAGGGGTTGTTTTTTTTTCAACTGAGGAAAAGTAGAATTCGCAAGGGTATGTCCAGCTCGTGATATTGGGTGAATGGGTGCGATTCAGAGAGTCGGCGACGTGCGGCAGCGTGTCGAGTGCGGTCGCCGCGGGGCGGCGGAGCAGTAGCCCCCGCCCGATACGTTTACGAGCCGACACTAACTTTAAGTGACCCCGCCCGCACTCGTGCGCCACAGCCGTGTTTATATCCTGCTCAATGAAAACAAAACCAGACGGGCCTCCTTTTGTCTTTTTTCGGCTTGACACCAGTTGCCGTTACCACGTCGGGCTTATTTGCGACGGAGGCTGATTAGTCACTGTAACTCCCTCATTGCATCTAAGCAATAGCGGTAGGTTATGTCCTAAACAATGACCGGTTCTGTCCCAAACAATCCCAGTAGCACATAACAGCGACCAAGTTGATACAAGCTCTACAAGTCTGTCAATCGCCTAGTCGTAAAACGAAAGTAACTGTAATTGAATGGTAATGTTCGTGTGGCTAAATCGTGCGTCGGCGCGCGGTATGCCGTGAAGTCGAGGTATGGGACCGATGCGTCTTCATTCGCAAATGCGGTGGCAAACGAGCTTATCAGCTGTCAAAGAATGCGTGCGGCGCGCCAACGCCACCGCTGCGGGCGGGACCGGAATGAATGAACCCGCCTCGCCTTTTTATCGCAGCTTCGTTGAATGTGCCGATTTGCCTGCGAACACCTGTAATTCGTTTGTTTACGGTTGTCGATCACGCTGACCGGAGGCGTTTGAGGGCTGCCGATCGCGTCAGTTCTCGGTTATATTGGGTCGAGATGGTATCGGTAAACTTTGTTTATATAGATGAATCAGCAGTACTGTGTATCATTTATATGCAAATCGGGCAATCAGATATAGATATAGTGTAATGTGTGTCTCGTCGTACTCGTCCTTTTGCTTTAATAGTTTTAGGATTACACGAAAAATAAACTACATAAAGACTAAATTTTTGTAAATGTTTGTTTTTATTACATATTATAGGGTTTAAACCTTTCTTGAAAAAAAAAATATTACGGATTTTTTTCGTCGGGAGAGCGAAGTTCAAATCCCGGTCCGTTTACATTTTTAGTATTAGTTGTTATAGCGGCAACAGAAACTATCACGGTTCATGAGATACAGTCTGGTGACAGAGGGACAGACAGACTGAGGAGTCTTAGTTACAGGGACCCATTATAAACTTTGGGTACGGAATCCAAAAATATGTTGAATCCGTCAATCCTCAGTGGATTCGCGTGGTGGTACTCTCTTTATATGCTCGCGTACTCTCTTACTGCTCTATATAGAGTGTTAATTTACTTTGTTTTTATGCGGTTATTATTTATTATGACAATGGCAGTTGCTAAGCTATTGGCTTCGGCGCTGGAGGTCGTGGGTTCTATCCACTCACGGGACAATTATTTGTGTAAGTAACAGCCTATACATGTCCCACTGCTGGCAAAGGCCTCCTCTATACATAGGGTATAAGGGCATAGTCCGCCGCGCGGCCTCGCTGCGGATTGGCGGAATTCACATACCTTTGAAATATTTTTTTTGTTATTATTTTGAAAAATATGCAGGTATCCTTACGATGTTTTCCTTTACCGCTGAGCATGTGATAAGTCAGGGGATGCGCCGGGGTCGAAACCCTGAGCTATCACGGCTATTTGTGTGCTCACAGATATTGTTCCGGAACTGGGTGAAGACAGGCAGGCGGCCAGTAAAAATTAGCCAAAACCACTTACAATATGACTCACATGTTTTAAGAGGTGGACGAGGTCAGATAAGGGCAAGGAGAAGATGATGATTAGCAATCCGTTAGTAGTAGGTGCCTTTACCTACAGACCCCTACCACTAGGTACTTTCCACCGATGAGACAACTATCGCCATCGACAGGATAAAGTAATCACGGAAACACAAAAATACACGCAATCGCCGGCGAGTGCGGCAAATATATACTAGGTTCTGTCACATACCTGGCAGATTTTGCCGGAGTTTCTTTCGCCAGTTCATCTAACAGCGCCAACGCTTTCTGATGTGGTAGTTACGAAAGCTTTGAAATCACCTAGTCAGACTACAGTACCGATCGAGCCGAGTTTCGGCCCTCTCGGGCACCCTCGATACGGAATGCTAAACGGGTACTAAGTAACAGTCCAAGCCGAGGTCCCCTTTCGTGGGCCATTGAGCCTAGTTGCTCCATGGAGCATCCGCCAAAGTGATCTAAGCCTGCCAAACCGGTAAATATAATAATAGCATGATAGCCCGAGCCGAGGTTCCCTTGGGAACCCTCGAGTCTAGTCACCCATAATCGAGGTACAGGCTAGGTGCCACCAGCGCCCGGCCACCTCAAACCCGGTGGATCTGTAAAAGCTGTCAAGGCCAACAGTGGATGATCCAGCCAAAAAAAGCTGATTATTTATAATTATGCGGTGTTTTAATAAAAGCGGTCAATTATTTGGTCTAATATTTTATCACTTTTCACGTGGCCATCTATTGTATTATAAGTCTTCATTGTTTTATACTGAAAACAAATTAAATAACTTTAAAATTTAAATCAATTTCAAAATATAATAAACAGAATTGATCTTTATAACCACTTTCTGTTAAATATTTTTTATGACAATGAGATGTATTATTACAATATTTTTTATGAGATTTTGAGATTAGACACCAAAACAAAGGTATGAGATTATATACCGAAATATTTAACAGAAAGTGGTTATGAAGATCAATTCTTTTTATTTCTGATAAAAAATTCGTGAGCTTATTTGCATTGATTTAAAAAAAAACAGTCACCGTACGCATCTATTTTAAAGTCTAGCGATATCGAAACTGGATTTAAAGAAAATAAAAGAGCATCCATGTAATAATGGCTGCTTTATTATAGATGACATCTTTGTGACACATGTTTCAATAACATTAACAACCTAAAATACAAATAGATTTACTGATCTTCTTTTCATAACGACTTGAGTGATATCGAAAAAGCTGTATATATCACTTACATTTATAACTAAACTTTTATTAACAGTTTTTAATTTGTACCATTACGCAAGTATGAACAGTAACTGTCTACTTATTTTTAGTAAAATCGAACGCAATAATTATATACCTTGCTACTTACTTATTTAAACACCAAAAACAAGTTCATAGCTTTCTCGACAGCGCGTACAGACTAGTTTTTCGGGGTTTGCACGATACGGTAACGTCTTCATGTAATAAGATAAACAGAGATATCAGACATCCTATGTTGTAGAATTTCATTTCAACTTAAATGAAACGGAAGATGTGTACAAACATTACTAGTATTTTTCTTTATCACAGTAAGGAGGCAATACTACTTTTTGGCAATTTACAAATTCAGTCAAATTATAACAAAAATTGCACTGAATATGGTATAAATGGATGGTCACTAATATAAGACTACTGTGATAGAATCACACAGCGGCTTTTGTGGTCGCGTAAGTGGGCCGATTTGGTAACTACCACGATCCCACAGGAGACAGCCAATCTCAGATGAAAAAATAATCTTTGCCGTTCGTCTAGTGAGTCAGGTAATATCTACCTTCCTTAATGTTAGCGACACATCTGCAAACTCATTAGCGCATTTGTCAGATGAACTACTTTATCATGTTTATTCGTAGAAAATGCTATAAAAATAAATATTGCTCATAAGAAGATTCACCGCAGTTAATACACAGTTAAAGAATTTGGGAATAATTTTACTTGCATACCATATCAATAGAAATTTAAACTATAATATTAATTAAAACATTTTGTTTCAACATTTTTCTACGGTAAATTAAGTAGTAGTTAAGTCTTAACTTACATAAAAGCATGTAAAAAAGAAAAACGGTTAAGATTTATTATATTTTTTATCCTTCCGATGTGTCGTTTTAATAAATACGAAAAACGAAACCTATTTGGTGACGTCACTGCAAACTAGATACCATGTACTGCAAATCGACGTTCCCAGGAACGAGGCCATCTCTGTTTATACAAGAAATCATATAACATATGATTTCTAATCGCACATAGAAAATTCATATACATAAGTTGTCATTCGTTACGTAATAAAAGTATGATATTGCGACTAAACGCAATAAGGTCAACGGAAATTTAGACGATAACGTGGACATTCTCCCTTTGAACAACACTGAATGGTATCGTCCGTCGTAAAGTAAACTTTATTATGAAATCTTTTTGACGTAATAATGAAACATAATATTAATAAAATTGTTTTATACATGTTAATAGCGATGTAGTAGTCTACCTTCTCCCTCGCCACCTCCCTCCCGCCCGCCGCCCACCTCCCGCAGTACAATATTCCCTTTTATTTTATTTATTCGGGCAAATGAAATGATTAAAGTATAAAGCATAAATTTTTCAACAATAACACAGATAAATAAGTGGGAAAACCTAAACAGTATTAGTTGTGACATAAAATGATTGATTTACTGTTTGATTGCTCATAATTATATCAAGCTTATTAACAACTTCAGTGTAGAAGAGAAACTGTGATCTTTGTAATGCTATCGAGTTTATTATTATACTCTACAACGTCGCGCGCTTTCAATTTAATTATTTGGGAACATAATAGCGATGACGCAAGTCGGTAGAAAGATAGATATAACAGCGACAATGTGAAATACGACATTTATGTTGTTTGAGTTTTTGATACAGTTTATTTTGGCGGCAGG